TAACATTTTTCGACGTGATTTGTAAAGACAGATGTAAGGATTTAGCTTTCTTTTATTTCTTAAAGATTTTATTACGGCGAAAATAAGACGGATAATGTTTTATGTCTGATATTAGTTTTACCATTTATCACATTTCACATTCATTTAGTCATGATCAACGAACGTATGGATATACAATACTTTTAAAGGTCTGCTTTAACCCTCGTGCACAGTTCAAAAATCTGTTATTTGTCGTGGGTCAGTGAATAAATAAGTTACATCCCCCTCCCCTAACTTTTTATATAGAAGCAAGATTATTGTGGATGTATAGTAAAATTCAACAAAATTTTTAAGTCGTAAATGTTAACTGTACGTTAAACATGGAGCGTCATATAAAAAGTGCGTCCAAGTTTGAGGTTCGTGTTATTATTCGATTTTTCTAGGCAAAAAATAATAATCGGTGTGCAATTTATCGAAAATCAGTGTCTGTGTATGAATAAGATACCCTAAGTCGTTAGTCAGTGATTTAGTGGTGGAAAGCATTTGAAAAAGGGGGTTACTGATGTGTACTGCTTCTGCAACGACTCCTGAGAATATTGAGGAAGTTGATGCCGTAATTCAATCAAATCGGCAGATAAAACTCGATGCAATTGCACGAGAAGTGGGCATTGCACACGGTACTGTTGCGACTATCGTTCATGATAAAAAAAAACCTTTCAGTACGGATGAGGAAATGAAGGAAGCAGCATTAAAATGGTTACGGGATTACAGACGGACAATTTTTAAAACAGGAATACGTAAATTAATTCCTCTTGACGACAAGTGTTTACAGCGCCTTGGTAAATACGTTGAAAAGTAGTAGCTGGCTGTCAGCTTACATTGGTAATAAGAAAGACTTTTTTACATTTGTTCGTACTTTTTTAGAGGAAGACGGTGTAACTTATTTATTGATTCACCCTCGTAATATTATCTAAACCAAAATTAAGATCGAATCAAAAAAATATATTCATCTATCGCTAGACTCCAATATACGTTGACTATTAATGTAAGATTAATACACAAGTTTTCCTAACAAAAAAAAAACATAATTATAAGTCAAAGTTTTATTTAGGATCTAACTTACTCGAACTATGCACGAGAGTTAAAATCACATTGACGACCATCGTCATAATGTTTTCTCTTGTACCAGAATGTTGAGATTTGAGATTAGAAAATAGTCACCGAATAGCAAACAGGCGAATACAGTATGTGCAGATGCGTTGTAGTTCAAGTAGCTTCTCGATTGTCAATACTTCGGTTACGCCTTATTCGAACGATACATTACTACAAATGCTTCCAAGCACCCAATAGAACGGTCCATACATTCGACCTTTTTCTTGTCATCTCTAAATTTCTCGAATCACCCGTAATAAACTCGTGTACAGGATAAACATTTCGTAGGTGTCTATCGCGATTTTATAGAGCTTGGAACAGAACTCGATACGGGCTCATTGTTCCATTGTACTTTCGTGATGACGTACATTAGGATATTGTCATTTCGACCCCTATATTTCGTACGGTGTACGTTTAATACCGTAAAATATTGACATCTACTAAAGTAAACGTGAAGCTTCAATAAACCACCGATTGTTAATGAATAACGCTTACACAAGATACAGAAGAAAATTACTCCTATTATTTTTCAAGCATATTCTGTAGTTTCAGTTTACTACCGACAATAACATTTTACGTTAACATTATATGTGATATGTAGAACTGATAAATAAAACGTAGGATCGAATGAAACGTGGCTGGTTTCAATTTCCTCGTAAGCGATCCATGATCAATATTTACATGTGTCTACGATCCGTAGAAAATTTGAAGTTTCGAAAGATAATATTGGGTTGGCCAGAAAGTAATGTCGGATTTCTGCAGTAAACGATGTTTCTTTTATTTCAGTGAAAAGCGCTGCACGTAATTAATGAACGAAATCTTTTTTCTTGTTTGCACGAAGTTTTTCTCTTTTCGGGAATAAAGTATAATTGCTCGAAAGTACAACTCTTCCATTTCAGTCACCCATTTTCAGAACAGGATCAATTCCCAAAAATTTAACGCAAACATAATGATTTTTAAAACAACGTGTTTAAGTGTTAGCTTTCAGAATGCGTATATACATATAGATATTAGAGTGTTGTTTATTTAATCAAACACAATTAATTTGTATTTTTTACGGGGCACCCTGTGAATGCGTTCACTCTTATAAATGTAATATAGTATTTTTTTCATTGTTTCAGTTAAGTAGGTAGTAGGGGTTGCTACCAGCCATTGAATTTTGTGTTTTTTATGAAAAGGAATGCAATTTTCTTTTCGTCGCACTTTCATTTTTTAATACATTTATTTAACACTGGGATATTATTACAAAATAAATTTGTAAACCAGCAGCTTTTATAAAAATCTATTTCGCAAATCACATCATGAGGCTAATAAAGTCGATTTCTTAATGTGAGGATATTTCTGTCGGAATTGTTTGAATAATAAAAATAAATACTGTTATAGATACTGTATAAATCCGACTCTCAGATTTATAGGGAGCTTGGCGTGTGGTTTTGCCATTCAAAATTTTAATAAGATGGTGATAACCTATAAAATATTATGAAATGTAATAAAATTTTAACCAGGCCCGTTTCTCAACATAGAAAATAAAATGGTAAGGTATCCAAGAAATATTTAAAAAATAGACCTTTAAGCACCACCCTAGTATACATTTTATTAATTCAGAGCAGTGATTGGTGTTGAATCAGAAAAAAAGCATCATTTACTCCAGAATTCTGATATTACGTTATGGCCAACCCAATATATTATCTATAGAGACTGTGTTTTGTGGTGAAGACTTTTCTTCATTGTAGAGTCTCTCTGAAAACTTGCTGATGGTAAAAAGAATTCAATCGATGGTCATGCTTAATCCTAAGACGAGATCGAAGGTCTTTCGTTTGATAAAACTCTTACCCTTTCACCTACTTTTACCGCGGAGGAGCGACATTGAGCGATACCCCATCAGGTTGTGAAACTTATTCGGATATTGTTAAAACGAAGATACGTTTCAGCGAATGAACCCAATTAACTTGGCGAATGGAAGGTAAACGCGGTCTACGCCAATAGGAAGTCAATTCTCGAACTCTTCCAGTAATTGGACAATAATTCCAATTCGAACGTTGTTCTGCAGATTGAACGATAATCGATAGCTGCAGGTTTGTCAGTGAACCACGTACAACCTGTCGTTTCTCGATGGACGACAATCGATGATATTGTGAAATCGTGTTGAGAACAATGACGTTGATTATTTTCATGAATCTCTGTTCAACTCAGCTTCACGATTTTAAATCCGATTCCTAATTCAATACGAATTATTTGCAATACAAAGCTATATTGGTAGCCAGCAATAAATTTTTATATGTCATAAATTGCGAAATATAAAATCGTTGATATTCGTATTTCATCAGTGAAATCACAAAATAATTATTATGTATCACAACTATAGAGGCTTCTCCCACACAATTATTATTATACAGCAGTTAAAGAATTTTTTAATTTCTAAATTGTTAAATTCTGAATAAAGCTATTTCAGAGCTGCAGATTGCAGTAACATATTCATTTTGTACATCAACAGAGGAGAACGAAGTCGTCAATAATAGTCAGAAAAGGTTTATATAGAAAACGTATTAACCTCTTGAGAAATACTGGCACATATGTGTGCGATCATTTTTTTTTATTCAAGAATGATTTCAAAAGATGCAATAAACATTATTTGGAATAAACATTCAGTAGAAAATTCCTCAATACAAAAGAGATATCCTACCAATTGATTATCATAAACATTTACAAATATATTTTAACACGTTGACTAACCACGCCAGATTTACATGATGCTCCCAGGGTGCCGCGAGACAATTTTCATTATTCTAAGCATATAATAACAAAATAATAAGAAATATGGTTATATACCATCAAGCCGTTATCCATAATGCGTTTATCTTGGTAGTGGTCACGGGTGACCCACCACGGCCCCTTGGTGCACTCGATTACTCGTCGTAACTGTTTTTGAATATTTTCTTAAAAAGGAACATAGCAACTGTAATATCATCGTATATGTTGACAAATGAATCCTCATTAATTAGTGAGTCGTAAGAAGTACTAAAAAAATGTTGCAAATCATGGTTCGAAAAATACTAAAAAGTGGACAAAGAAGTCACTGTATACTGCAGAAATTGCGATGGCCTTTTTTTTTAATGTTTTAATACAATACACTGTACTTAATTTTGGTAATACAATATGTAAAGCTTTAATCAAAACCATTAATTATGTAATAGTGCATTTTTTATTTCATCATATCGTCTAGTCAGCTATGATGTTCAACATTTTTTAATTGACGACATAAATTTTATTTTACTTATTCGAAACATTTAAAGCACTCTCCTGTCACTGATTACCATCACGGCTCCATCGAGGAAACAATCTCCGGTCACAGGTGACCAACGTGACAGTCAACGTATTAAATGCATATGTATACAGTAGACTCCCGATTATCTGGACCTGCTTTATCGGTCTCCGCTTTAACCGGCCACATTTTTGTTGACATGAAAAATATAGATATCGCATTAATAAACGAAATTAAATGAAAGAGGCAGAACAAGATTACCGAGTTTCTGGTAAAAAATAATATTTAATAAACATGCTGTATATGTATGTATGTGTAAATATATAATACATATTATAGATGTTCTTATATGTTAATTTCTTTCAGTAACTAGCTAGAAATGATAGGTGATACATGTCGGATGAACCGGCCAGAGGTCCAGTCCCATAAGGGCCGGTTAAGCGGGAGTCTACTGTAGCTGAACAATAGAAAAGATGATTTTTTTTATTGTTATTAAATTATGTTTATAAAAGTCTGTAGCTGAACAATAAAAAAAGAAAGATTGTTTCTAGTCTTAATAAATTCGTCCTTGAAGAAGTTAAAGACAGATCACAACTTCAAATGGTAATCATTTATTAAAGTTCAATATTAACATTTCTAATCACGTTGCTTTTCGTTAAAATTAAGATCAACGATGCGGCAAATTAGAGTACATATAGAGTATCCAGTAGAGAAATTGAAGATTATGATAATCCGAGGGAGCCATTTCATGAACAACACTTCAATTATCTGCATACGCAGACGCCATTTTGGCAGCGACCGCCCCTGCGTCCTTGAACCATACATCTGAAGGCGCAGGCTGAATGCTTGAAACTGAACCACTGCGATTCCCAAGAGAGAATGTCACAGGTCACCCTGCGTGGTCGACTAACGCTATCATCGGCGCCCACTTCCGTCGCACTGCCATCGTCACTGTCAGAACCTTCGATTTTCTCTACAGAAAAATTTCTCTGATTATTCTTCTAATTGTGTATTCTCTGTGTATACATATTACTAATTTTTGAGAGGAAATCATGAAATGCGTTGCAGTGGATACTATCGTTTTCAAGTGTGCATAATATACAGTGGCTAAAAAACGTATTTACCCGCGAAAAATAGAATTTTATTTTGTGAAATAAGTTTTTAGATCCATTATACATTTATAGTATAAACTCTTGAATAATTGTTTAAATTCTAATACTTTTGGCCAAGGCTGTACATATTAATGTTAGTCTGCAAGATGTTTCATTTGTCAGGGTTTAGGGTTTAATGATTAATCTTAACCACTGGTAAACTATTTGAAAATGAAATTCTTGACATTAATATGCAAGACGTTTTAATCCTTTTTAGTAATATAAAAATATACAAGGGGGAGGCAATTAATATTTATGTACCGGATATTTCACGTGATTCGCTTGAAATATATTATAATTCGAGGAAGGAATTGTTAATACTACTATAAACAATATTTAATTCCTTAAGAATAGACAAAAATTTGAAAAGAAAGGGAAAATAATATTAATACGCAGATTCTTGCGCGTTGTCTTCACTGAAGAGATTCAAAGAAAAAATTCTCGATACTAACGTACTGCTTGTTTAACTTCTCTCGACTAGTATGACAATATACGACACAGTTGTTATTGATATTGTCGCACAATTTGTGTCAGTAAAGATCTTATGTACTCCTACTACTTACTTAACTCGTAAGTTGGTCCATCGAAAGTGACTGGCGGAACACTTGCCGCGGATACGTAAGCGATGGCGACGAAGATGCTAAAAACGACGAGAAGGAGCTTCATGTTTCGTCGAAGAATGTTTTGCTCGTCCACTTGAACTGTTCTGAATTGGTTTGTTCGCGAATGATGCTTATAAAGTAACGACTAGCATTTATATACTCAATCAAATCGGGAGATATGATCTTTCATTGGTCTCTGTCCACTTCCGTCCCGTCAAATTTCCTTCTGGATTCAGGAAAAGGAAGAATAGTTCAGGAAACCAACAGTGGTTAGATTTGACGTAATGCAATTTAAAATAACATTTCGCTGCAAATTTTCGAGTTATCATTGTTTTGTGTTCTTCCACAGTCCCTGACCATTCGAATTAGCATCACTCACAATTTTCAACATCTTTTGTGTTTTCAGTATTTCAGCACGAAATATCTGAATGAAATTTAATTACAAATTGTATTAACTATTTAAATATTACACACATACATATTATCATACATGATATCTTATTATTTATTACTGTTGAGTATTTATTTTTGAGAGCCGTACAATGCGTAACCAGCGTTTGAGAACCGATTGGATGTTTACACTAGAATACCTATCAATAACAAGTTTAACGTAACCGTTTTATTTTATTTCGACTTATTATATTTTTCATATTACGTTAGGATAGCCTTTAAGCCATTTTTTGTCTTGTCAATATTGACAAATAGTGCTTTGTATGTCGTCTGTGACACTCCAAATATCCAGCCCTTGAAACTGTAACCGGAAACCGATTTCAATTGCCCCCTGGGAGAACTATCTTTTCCTGTATGTTTGTAAAAAAATGTTTAAATACGAAAAGTCTGTTTATACTTTAGTATTTAATCACGTTTATTATTAAATTACGTTCAGACTCTTTAATTTTCCTAAGAGTACGTAAGATCGAACTCAATAGTCAGAGGCTGTATAATGGATGGAGTCAAGTTCAAATGAAAATTTAAACGATCCAAGTCAAATTTAAATTCTAACGGTTTAATTTGAACTGTAACGGGTAAATTTAAACAGAACGTTCAGCGTTTAACGTCGAAATCTGACGGTGAAACTAAAATTCGAAGTTAAATTCCAACGGTCAAGTTGAAATGCCTTCGGCGACGCAAAAGGGGCTGGAGTAAAGTCGATCAGCAATTAGAATTCTGTGCATTCCTACGAAATCATACTAGAGACACATGCATCGATCCAATTTCGAACGCCAATCCACTTTTGGAAACTTTTTCACTGTGCTGCGGCGAAAGTTCTCGTTGTTTGATACACGATGCTGACAAGGTACACATTCTTTCGTCTGAAACGTGGCCAGAAATTGAAATTGTTGCGTACTCTGTGCGAAACACACGACTGATACAATTGAATTTTTGATTTACACGTACACAGTGGTGTGACGGTACGAACAAGCAGGCAGAAGGTTATTCTATATGCAAAATAAGTCGAAAATATAGAAATAACATATGTTCGTGTCGTGCTTCATTTCCGAGATAATCAAATTGGAAAATCTACTTCATACGTGTGCAATTGAATGAGACGTGACTACCGCGCCTGATCATCACCTTCGTTTTCTACTTATTGCTACGTACGAATTTTTAAATTCTATTTCCTCGGAAAGTAAGCCTCGGATAATAAAAATATTTTTAATGTCGACTTTCTCGAAAATGATGTATCAAAGGAAAAAATTTTATTGCACATTTTCGACTTATTTTTTTTAATTTGATTTTGAATATGTTCTATAATAATCCATTTTTGAATACTTTAATAAACAATATAGTAGAATAACACAATAAAGTGACAAATATACTTGATTCATTAAACTTTTGACATTTCCTGGACACACTTGATATACCTTCGTCAGGTGATCGAGCCTGGATTGGGTTTAGAATAGGTTACGGTTACGTCGATTTTTCTGGAAAAACAACTTTTTTTTATTATATTCACGTTTTGTACAATTTCGATAAATACTGAATATATTTTTATGAGATCGTTAGATTTATTAGACTCACAATCAGTTAACCCTCGCATGACAGACCGTGAAATCCGATGGTCTGGTCACCCGTGACCCATACGAAACACTGTACATATTACATAAAACTTTCACATTCATTTACAAGAATTTCTAAAAAAAATAATATAAAATTTACATTTTCATAAGAATTGATTTCTGTTCATTCTTTAGATAGAACATCCTCTTCCCTGGAAACATCCTGGATCATACTGAACCAGTGACCCCAGCCATCATCATGCGAGGGTTGATATTTTTATTAGATTGATGACATTGCCTTTCGAAAAGGGATCTCCATTTAAGCACTGAAGAACTGGTTAATATTTAATCGTTGTAATGTAACAAGAAGTTGTTGGTATTGTCTTAACAAATGTATTGTCTGTTTACAGGAGAAAAAATCTAAAGGAAAATGAGAAGGCAATCGCACAGCCCGTGCCTGAACGCAGGAAGCAGCATTGGCGAACCACAAATCATCGTCGAGGAAAGCACACTAGAAGAAGAGGAAGCGGAACGGCGTAGACAGGAATCGCCTCCGCTGTCTCTCGATCGAGATTCACCATCTCTGAATCCCGATTTATTGTACCCATGGAGGGACACCAGGAAACACTCTTTGCCTACTCCGCAATGCACTTCCGGGATAACTGCATCTCAGGTATATAATATCTAATCATTTGCAAACCACATTCACATTTCCTAACAGCCGACGCTATAAGCAAGATAAAAAATAAATGGCCGTCCGAGACATGGTTTGATCCAGATTTAACACATGTCTAATTCAGAATTAACCAAGATCTACTGAATCATCATTTTTTACAGTATAAGACCTATAAAGCTAGATTGTAGAAAAATAAAAGACCGTTAGATTAATAGGTAATTCCGTATTAACGTTAATTTAGTTAAATTCTAACAAAAAAATTAAGCAGCCCTTAACTAAACCTAAGTCTTGTTTGAATCAATAACATTCTTCAACAACCATCTGGACTTCTAACATTCGATACCCGTTTGTTATAAATTTCTGTGCCCTGAATACGAATCTGCAAACGGTTTTATGCCAGCGCCCTTAATGTTGGAGAAATTTGATTTTGAAAAAAAATGCAAATTTTCAACTTTGAACAGTTCCTGTGTTCAAACAGTAATAGTTATTCGGTTAATTGTTGCGTCAAATTATTCTACGCCACCGCGCCGTTGAGTACCAGAGAGAAGTAGTAGAGTTTATAAAATAATTTGACGCAACAATCAACCGAATACCTATTACTGTTTGAACACAGGAACTGTTCAAAGTTGAAAATTTGCATTTTTTTTCAAAATCAAATTACTCCAACATTAAGGGCGCTGGTGAAAAACCGTTTGCAGATTCGTATTCAGGACACAAAAATCTATAGAAAACGGCTACTAAATGTTAGAAGTCCACAAAAAGTTAAAGTTTATTGAACGGTGTAATAAGCCGGGTGTAACCAAATTCTAAATTCGAAATTAATTAAAACTAACACAGTCACTCAAGATCTTACTACTCAATCAAAATGAGTGTCAAATCGAATGCGATCTTGATTTTGATGATAATATTTTTCACTCACTAGAGTAGAAGTAAGTCGAAAAAAAAGAGTAACTTTTTTTCACTGGACGCCTAATTTTCAAGAAAATTGGGTTTGAACATTCATCTAAAACGCGTATATTTGTGCTGGCAATAAGTAATAAGAAACGGTCTGCAATGAACAGACACCTTAGCGAAGTCCTATTCTATTTCCCGTCTATCCAACAAATTTTCATGTTTGATTATCTCGAAAATGGGGCGTTAAACGAGAAAATATTATTCTCTTTTTTTTATTTATTTTTATATGTAGAATCATCCCCTGCCCGGTTGTACTACCCGTTTGGCCATCTTCCCTGTGTAATCAAAAGATTATTATATGTATGCAGAAACTACTCATACTATAGGATATCCTGTTTATCATAGAATATATAGACAGTTAATTTTATATTAACGACCTATAAGGAATTTAAATAGAAATTATACTACAAACCATATCACGTACCGCAAAGATAAGTTATCTTAATGCATTTCCTCATTTTTTTCTGATCAAAATACATGAAACGCGTAGAGATCAATCGTTCACTTTTGACCGCTGGCGTAAATGGAAATTGCAAACCGTCATTATCTAAAATGGTTCGTATCAACAGGTGAGGCGATTGAGCGAACGTGGAGGCGAAGGATCAGGACCATCGCCGAGGGAGGCTGCCTTTCTGGCAACTCTATCTCAAGCGCCAGCCCCACAGCCTGGCGGCAGAAGGCATTCCGTCGTGACAATCTCCAAAGTGCCGGCGACTCTATTCGGCCGTAATAGTCGTCGCGAATCTTTCGCCGCCTTTCCCTTAGGGGGTGCAACCAGAATATTACCCGGTCGTCGAGATTCGGAGTCTGGGCTATCGGGTCCGCAAAGTAACAGTGGAAGCTCGCATAATCTTCAGCTGGACATAATGGACAATATTGCAGAAATTAAACCAAGAAAGGTGAGAACCGCGCAACTAGATTTTCCAGTTAGACAGAGTTGGGATCAGTCAGACTCATTTCTACGATAGCAATTTTAGGGGTTCTCCCTACTGTGACGGATCAAAGGAATCGATTTTCTTTCTTTTGCATTATCTTGAAGTTTAACACTTCAAAAGCATAATCCCAAAGGAATATAACTGTACATACATAAAGCTTTAATCGCTTTTTTCTTGAAACGACATTTTTGTAAATGGCTGCTATGATATACATATTTGACGGATTGACTTAGCTTTGCTTAGTTACTGCTACCGCACTCTGTATAACTGATTATTAATTGCTTCTTTATTTTTAAATACTCTAGAAATCGACGAAGTTATAAATTTAGTTACACCGTTTTGAATTTCTTGAATTTACATTTCGTATTTGAAATTAAATTTCGATGTAATCGTTAGAGTCTGAACTGGAATTAACTGTTCATATTAAATTACATGTTCAGTAGATGTATAGTTCTCGTCCGAATTAGAATAATGTTGATATTTGCAAAATTAGAATCTTGCGACTTGGAAAACAAGCAATTCATTATGCAAAACTTTACAATTTGTCTAAAGACACGGTTGTTTTGTTATTTTTCAATATTTTTTATTTATCCTAGTTCGGGCGATAGCCACACTCATGCAGATTAAGAATTTTTTTCGAATTTTTCATTTCGGATAATGTGAATAGGAAAATGCAGTTTTTTTAGGCACTTCCGGAAAATATTGTAACTTTTAAAGTCCACTATATTTGTAGATCAACCAAACTTTGACGTATTCCTTTAGTGTATACGAATAAATGTAAAACAGTTTAAAATTGATACACCGTATAGTTTTTCCTACAAACATCACTGAATTGTATCTACTTTTTGAGCCGTGGCAATAGGAAGACCTCTTAAAGGGACAGTGTACAGGTTATTTCATTCGTTTTAATTACTGAACAAGTTAAGAGAAGAAGTTATTGATATTAACACTAAAACTACCGACAATGAACATGTGTCTATTTCTATTGGATCGATAAACATGACAAACTATTGAAAATATACGAGTTTATAAATTAACTCATTTCTTCACTTACACATTCCAATCAAAAGTTGCAAAAGATCTGAGAAAGTGCATTGTTTGGAACATTTCAATGATCGTTAACCAATCATTTTGTCTGCTTTGGTATGTTCAGTGTTAATACAGTGCGTTAGAAAATGATATAGCCACCTACGTTTTCTGGTGTAATGCGAGAAAGAAATCACCGATCCATCTTAAAGTTGTTGTTCTCGTTGTCCGTGAGACACGAATATCTTCCCATTATTTTCAAAATACTTTTGTGTTTGGACTTTTACGACTATCGAAAAAGGGATCAACGTAATGTTCGCTTTCGTTGCTCCTCGAAGACTGTTCTCGCGTTACTTCATAGACCAACACAGTGTTGGAACTCTTTCTTTTGTTTTAACAACTCGTTTCTTTATTAAAACAAAAGAAAGAGTTCCAACGAATATTCTGGGACCTTCTTCGGTGTTGCATTCCCGAATGTTCTTCGACATTGCATTCCACAATGTGCGGAAACGCACCCTGTACCCATCATACATACATCATTTTGCATTATACATCTGTTAATGAGGTAAATAAACATATATTCAAAGACCAGAACACGTTTCTTTCAGGTGGCTATATCATTTCCTAACGGTTGAAAACCCGGTAAATTCATGAAAGAGGTTACTGTACCTCAATGAGCGAACGTTTTATAAATAAATCATTCTAGAATTATCAACAACTATTTAAACTACATACACAACAAATTTAAGATGGATCGCTGATTTCTTTCTCGAGTTACACCAGAAAACGTAGGTGGCTATATAATTTTCTAACGCACTGAATTGTGTTTCGTTCACCCTCCTTACATAAAGAGTGTTCAATGAAAAAATGATCAATATCAATGCGCAGGCCGTTTCATTTACATCTGTAATTTACCTGCAAAGTGCTTGAGAAAGAAAATCATTTTACGTTACTAATTGCTTTTTAATGTATCTTGTTCACTTAAAGGTCCTCATGTAAATGTTTAACAGAAGAGTCTATATAAAAAAAAAAAAAAAAAAAAAAAAATAACTATTCCCAGGTACGTATGAAAATGTACAAGACGTCGACAGAGCAGGTGTGCGAGATACAACCGTTAGAGGGTAACAGTTCCTCCCAGCGATACACTCAGTATCAGAAGACTTCGCCTCTGCAAAGACGAGCCTCGGAAATCCCAAGAGCCATGGGCGCGTCTATTGCCGGTGCAGCTGGTATCGTTTGCTCGAACACCGATTTAATATCGATCCTGAGCTCATTAGCGACCTCGGCGACGGAGATCAATCGATGCGGCGAGGAAGCGTCGAGAGACGAAAGCAAGTCCAGCTGGGCTGGAAAGACGACCGAGCAGAAACGGAACCGTCTTAAGAGTTTCCGTTCGAACAGTTTCGATGTGTCGATCCTGCACGAAGCCAAGGAGAAGCTCGCTGGATCCTCAAAGGCGGCCGCCGCTTCCACCGTCATGGCGCCCTCTAATTGGTTCACCAAGAGACATCAGCCGATGTCGAAAAAACAGAAACCGGAGAGCTTAATCACGGCCAACTTAAACTTCAAGCTCGATAAATCGAAGGTTGTAAAAGCGGTGAAGGAAACGCTTGGGAAAAGCTCGCCTACAGGGGACGTCAGGCACAATGTCGTCTGGGACGGCACCAGTGGCACTAAAGTGGACGCTCAGGTTGGTAAACAACTTCGTTCCTTCCTCAATTTTGTAAAAATTGTATTTTATAATAATTCTCGGAATTTTGTTTATTTACACTACCGGTCAAAAGTTTGGGTCCGCTTCACAATGTTAATGAAATGTTCAAAAAACCATGGTTTTCTTCGTTTATTATATTTTATTATCAATATTTATGAAAAAGTAATCATTGTTTATACAAAATATGTCAACTCACAAAGAAACCCGCAAGTATTTATTTATATTTTTGATTCTTCGAAATATCTGCCTTTTGCTCGCATAACAGCAGTGCATATTCTGGGCATCCTTTCAATTAATGTATGCAATGATTCCGTCGTTATTTGATTCCAGCAATTCTGTAGGAACGTCCAAAGCTGTTTTGTATTAGTTGGTTGCAATTTTCTCACTTGTCTGTCCAACTCGTCCCACAGCAACTCGATCGGGTTACAATCCGGCGACTGAGGAGGCCATTCCATATATTTGAGTTCTTTCTGCTTCTCTTTGGCTGCGATGTAATCCCGGCAAAATTTAGAAGTGTGCTTAGGATCATTATCTTGCTGAAAAACGAATCCGCGACCCACAATTCTTTTCCCACACGGAAAAGCGTGCCGTTGAAGAATGTTGTGGTAGACTTTTTTGTCCATGATACCCTCAATGTTCACAATGTCACCAACAATGTCCCCAGCAAAGCATCCCCAGACTAACACTGACCCTCCACCATGCTTGACTGTGGGGATCACACATTGGTTAATCATGCGTTCGCCAACCAAACGACGAACATATTGTCGGCGTCGTTTGTTGAAAATTTCAAATTTTGATTCGTCCGTGAACAAGACTTTAGACCATTGTTCAGTTGTCCAATCTTTATGTTTTTTAGCCCAATTCAATCTTTTAACTTTGTTTTGCTTGCGTAGTAATGGTTTTTTAGCGGCGACGCATCCTTTCAAGCCATAATTTCGTAGACGTCGCTGTACCGTCGAAACAGATACCGGTGTTTCGCGCGCGGAGTTGAGTTGTTCGCGAATTTCGGGGGCTGTGAGAGGACGATTTTTCTTACTTACAACAGAGATGAACTTGTCCTCTTGTTTTGACGTAGTTTTAGGCCTCCCAGAACGATGACGACTCTGATTACACCCTGTTTCGCTCTTTCTTTGTAACGCTCTCATGACTGCATTTTTAGAAACATTATATTTAGAAGCAATTTTTCGCGTTGAATAACCTTCTTCATGTAGTGCCACAATAACTGCTCGTGTCTCTACACTCAGCTCTGCTTTTCGACCCATTTCTCTACGAATGAAACATGAAATATATATTTTGATTCACATTTCAATAATGAGATGATATTTTTCGAATTACGTCAATTTACATAAAAATTTTTGTCGAACACTTATGATTTTGAATACGAAAAATGTTCTACTCAACTTTGTACAAAGAAAAATATAACAAACAATTGGAAATATAACTCTTGGAGTGAGTTTTTGCAGCACAATGGTGTTACGCGTAATAGACACTAGCGCCCTCTCCACTCTGACCAGTAGCAAGACGCACGTGCTTGACAAAATCCACTGAGTGGCCGACTTAATTGTATAGAATTCAAAAATAAAGCAAGTGGACCCAAACTTTTGACCGGTAGTGTATATGAGAAAAATACTAGAAAATTACAACATAGGGACATCAGATTAGTTTTCACTTTATAAAATCATTTATCGGTATTCTTCTTGAAACTACATGGTGCAGCAAAAATAATTAAGCGATTTGAGTTAGCCGTTGTTTCTACTCTATATTATTATGTTGATTGTGCTTTTTTAAGGGGTTAGCTTACTTTGGAGCCAAAAAAGTTATTTTTGACAATCTTGCGAAAATAATGAAGTAAATGAGACATTTATTTAAAGACTTATTGTATATATTTTCAAGTACGCCAGAAAAATTTTCTTTTAGAACAAAACGGCAACGCTCGGGCTAATTCAGATTGGTTAGTTTTTAAGTGAGCAGCTAACCGGCGTACAGGATACCTTGAAAACAGTTTCGCCTTTAACAGAGAACAAAACATTTTTAAGGATTTTTAGAAATATGATTTATTGTGCAAGTGGTGAATATATGAATAAAAAAGTATATTTTTAAACTGAAAAATTTATATAAAAATATCCATGCAAAGAAAGTTTTTAACATATCGCAATACCCTACGTATTTCTTTAGTAAATGTCGTATAGAAAATAAAAATGTTTCGCTTTTTGTTCTGGGCCAAAACCGTTTCGAAGTTATCCTGCATGCCGATTAGGTTTTCACTTAAAAATAACCGACGTGGCTGAGCCCCATCGTCTCCATTTTGTTGTAAAAATAATTTTCGCTTACCCAAAAATATGTTTAATAATTAATGTCTTTTAATAGATTTCCCACTTACTCCATCATATTCGAGAATGTTCGGGGTACCCGGTATTTACATATTTGTGCACGTAGTTTTATGAGACACTTTTAGCCGTTAGACCAAGGCGTTTTGCGAGGCGAGAGCCGGAAGAAGGCCATAAAAATGAAAGCGGGGGTTGACCTGCGTCGGGTTGCGAGCGATGACGAACCTTGGGTCCGTCGGTGAAGGTTTGCCAGAGTCGAGAATGTTCATGCCCATATTTGGGCATAGAAAAAGCTATCGAGACGGCAAGCGTCGGGTAGTATTGGAGAAGGGTAGAGTTTTCGAAGAGGGCGAGACAGTGGAGGGTCGACAGTTGAGAGTAAAACGTCGATAGTTGAAACTTGTAGTAAAGTAGTTTATAGAAATAATATTGTAGTTCACCTTCAGTTGTTTAGTTTCTATTTAGCACATAATCCAATAATTGTAATACTAGTTTTATTTCCTTTTCTAGTAAATAGATATTTATGTTTTTAATTATATTTGTTACTACAATTGCTTTTATTTTTGGGCTCCAAAGTAGCCTTATCCATTGAGCAAACAGTAGAGACCTCAGGAAAGCACGAAGAAGTGATAGACGTTAAAGAAATGCGTCGAAGTTTTTAAATTATATTATCAAAATAATTCGAGTATTGTGTGAATGCAAACTAAGTATCGTTCCATTTTCACATAGGTAGTCGTGTAAATAATCAACGTCACCGGTACTGGGGCACAGGAAATCCTCGAATTATGCACAAGAGACCAGTACATTCACTGCATTCACAAAAAATCAGTGTTTAATTTAGCATTTACAGTGCACGTGTAATAGGAGAAATTTTTTTTCGAGAATACTCCAGGTGATGATACCATTTCCGCCATTGGTTCGCGGTATCGTCAGATGCTGTACGACTTTTTCACGTCTAAATTAAATCAACGAGGTCTGAAAAATATGTGGTTTTCATTTGCAATTTTTTTCAGTCAGTTTACATTATTGAATTCTGTTTTTTAACATCATGGTTATGAAAGGAAATTACAATCTAAGCATTCTATTTATCTAAAACAATTATTGAATTTTGTTCACTATTTCCCTTTTGAAATGACAAAAAATCGCTCTACATGTAGAAATAAATCAGAACATAGTTAGTAAAATATAACGAAGCATTCTTCGTTAAAATTAAGTGTTATTTAATTTTATTTGGAATAAATTAAGATTTTTGAAGATATTTTTGTAGGCACTTTATTGTGTGTTTTATTACAAAAGTTCTGATTAAACCGGGATCATTTGACCGATATATCCAAAAAATGTATGTACATAAGTACAAATAATTTTCCTAAAAGATTTAATAGGAGTATATATTAATATTTAATAATGACTTCTATTTGTTTCTTAATTATCAAGGAGGCAAATCGCTTATTTACTTCTACCGCACTCTGTATAAATGATTATTAATTGCTTCTTCCATATTCTTAAATACTCTAGAAATCGACAGTTATAAATTTAGTTACATCCTTTTTGAATTGTTTTAATTTAAATTTCGTATTTGAAATTGAATTTCGATTTAATCGTTAGGGTCTAAACTGGAATTTAACTGTTCACATTAAAAGGACTGAGTTAGAACGCGCGTTGGATCTAAGAGTCTACAGTCAATTTCTGTGTATTATATATTTCATGAGAATAATAATGTATATAGTTAATGATTTTGTTACGGAAATAGTTAATAGTTTAAAATAGAAAGTTGATGTGCAGGTATTGGGCACTGCAATCGAGAAAGTCCTAACAGCGAACAAGGGGAATGACGCAGTAGCTTCCGGATCATCCGGAAAACCAGCCGTATCTCCGAACAAACAAAAATCCGGCAAAGTGACCACTTGGTTTTCAGGCAATACCAAGGAGCAAGAACAAACCGAAACCTGCGAGCAATCGATCTGCTCCTCATTAAAAGACCTCTTCGTTAAGTAATGATCAAATACATTAACTAATGATTTACCCAAAGACTAACATGACCTAATAACTGACCTATTTATTATTGACAATTTTGATTTATTGTATTGTAAATAATTACTGAATTGGTCAAAATTCAATGAAACTCTTCGTATTATTTTGTATTAATCAATCTTGGTTTTGGTCGTTACAGTCTAAGGGTGATTCAAAGGTAAGGTCTAATCAACGTGGGTCCTAAAACCGTTTGTCATATTGCTACATGAGTTTTTTTAGATTCATGACGCGTCAATTTAAGAAACATTCAGGACTCTCATGAAAGGAAGAAATTAATTTTAATCTTATTTTCTTTAGAATAATTCGAATTCAAAATTGCACGTTTCTAATTTGCTCTAAACTGTATTTACCCAGATAGCATATGACGCCTTGAAGACGCCCATTTACGGCTATTTTAGGTGTAACCACTATCTGGGTTATATTCACTTTGGTACATATTATTTCATAAATAGCAAATTTAAAATCCGGATTAAATAGGTACAATGAATATTAAATAACAAACAGTAAACTAGCTCTTCTTTAACAGGTCATTTCATAAGTGATGCCATATTTTAAATAAACTTGCTCCAAATAAACGAATTAGATATGTATTTATTGAAGAACCCCAAAATTTATTTCATTTTAATTTTGAATGAGACATACTTATAAAGCAGTATTTTCAGTATATTACTTATTTAAAGTTATTAAGCTGTTGTACAATAAAATAATGCAAATATTTCAATCTTTATTATTTTTGCGTATGTTAAATCTTTAAATTGAGACAAATTAGTATAACGCTCTCTGGATCAATCTTACATATCAATTTCCCTGCCTCTGATTGCATAGACAGTTAAATCTTAACAAAAGCAGCAGTTATGGTTGTACCATGAAAATTAACAGTAAACACAATATTATGAACGGCGTACGGAATGACCTGATGAACAAAGCCAGTTCAATGAATGCAGATTTTAATACCTAAATGTTGTTGCACACGAAATGTCATTTCCTTCAAACAAACTACAAAGGCGCACAGCTGTTTAGGAATTTTTTACATTACGATTGACTTTCTTTTTTTTAATGACGACTGGCCTTTTATCGGATTAATAAAAAAAAACTGAATAATTAGCAAAAATAATTTATTAAAGTATTTATTGTTTATTGTCCACAGTACTATTACCTACTACAAAATTGAAAATAGTTGGCAGCGACATTTCATAATGCACCAACATATCGGAACTTCGGAGATGAACTTTTAAAGCATACCTAAACAATGTCGTACAATAAATGTTATATGGTGTTCTGTAATGGAAAATCGTTTTTTATGATGAAGTCAAGTCCAAAATTAGATTATTATTATTGTTAAAGACTAAAACTGATTGTAATGACAATTTAATGACAATCTATCAAGATCAGATCAGACAGTATGGATGATCTTTATCAGACTTCCATGCGTTTACAAAATGAAATTACTTGACGTTGATAATATCACTGTTGTATCGAAAAATTATTCAACGTTATTAAAGAAAATATAATACATGTATTTATTTACCTTTGCTGGTCAAAGGCTCGTCAAATAATTGTAATATATATTATATGAATACATATATACATGTATTGTGTGTATAAAAATTGACGTGTACTTTTAATAATGATGCGCTGACTTAATTTGTATAGTAGAATTATAAAAAAAAAATATCGTGTAGGTCATCGGGATGTAAGTAATGTCTGTGTTGCCTCGAATTGTCCTTAGAATATTCGACGAAATGAACAAGTGCAAATAATTATGGCAGTTTTATGGATATAAGACATGTTGAAGAGCAAAATGAATTTACTAAATATATACATGTTTCATTAAAATATCACTGTTACCCTACATGTGTTGTTACTTACACGAAATAACGTATGTCTCCGAAATGAATAACTAATAAAAATGAACATCTTTGGAAATTATATCTGGTAGTGGACCATGGTAGACCGTAAAATATTAAATAAACTTTTATTGATATTAAATAGAACGTTTAGTTTTTTTCGGTTTATCGTGGTGTTTTACGATCGGCACAATGAAAGTTGAAAGTAAACTCAAGGAGTTCGAACTAAACGGTCGTAAAATGTCGATCGAAAAAGAGAATGCATACTACGCCTTTGTATAAGCGGAAAATATTTACTCCTGATGCTATTATTGTGAAGTTCAGACTTTGGTATTCCTTGCGTCAGCTCAAAAAATTCAAAAAGTCTACTGGAAAACTTGTATCTCTTAAGCGAATTTCAGAGAAAACTCCTTTCAAAATAAAAATTTTGGAATCAGGTTGAGATACAATTCAAGATCTGGAACCCATATACAATATGCACAGAGAATAGACATTAAATTAAGATACAAAATAACTGAGAAGAGTTTTATTAAATACACAATAGTTCATTTATTCGTAATATTTAATTTTTATATAAATTTACATAAAATTTTAGGGATACCCTACAGTCGATGGAACTGGTGGAAATAGCTTGTGACTACTAACTGAACAAAAAATGCGAACACTAACAAGTGTGGCCTTCACCGATTTCAATGAAAATGCGCAGGATTTAGGTATACATAGCCATAAATTTTTATGAAATTTTAACTCAAAGTTTGGAAAAATTGCCTAGTCCAGTTATGACATTAATGACCGCGATCCTTATCAATAGCACAGTTGGAGGAGCGACAGCGTAATGGACTCTCACTTTTTGGCCAAAACCGGAGCTTTACTAATTGGAACGACAGTATAGAAATTCATTCCTTAGTACAACCAACCAGAAGCACTAGCATGTAAAAATATGATTAACTCACGACACAGAGATTTTTTAAAATCTAAACGAAATTAATTCCCTACAGTCATACGCAATTCTAACTGTTTGTGCAAACAGTGTTCTTTTGCGAAATGTTCGTGGTGCAATATAAATTTATGTTTTACTTGTTTTTATGGTAAGTTCCATTCAAATGTATGTACAGGTACAAAGTAAAAATTTGATCGCTTACACATACACTTCAAACTTATATGTATATATTTTTACTTTTATATGAAACCATTTTATTCATATGTGAAAAAAAAAATAAGTTCAGCGAGATATAAACCTAGATAAAAAAAAAAGTGACAGTCCACTACACTATCGCTCTGTCAACGATCTTACTAACAAAAAATCGCAGTCATTTGTACTTATTCGACTAGCAAAGTTTTCCAAACTTTGACTTCAAATTTTTTTGCATGTATTTGTATGCATGTTTTCCATTCATGTATACTTAACGATCCTGCGCAACTTTACTAAAATTGGTAAGGGCCAAATATGAAGCATTCTTTGTAAGCGAGAACCAGTGTACACTTTTTGTTTCTGAGTTATTAATTGTTGAAAATACAGAAGAAATACATACAAAATACAACTGACACGACGGATTATTCTACATGAAAGGCATGTTCTCAGACTGTTTCACAAATCAGCTACATTCATTTAATTTTATTTTATTCGTTAATTTCACTAGATCATCGATCGAGCCCGTGTATCAGCTGGGAATCGGCTGTTCGAGTTGTATAATCCATCGTGTCAGACACATTTCACGCGTATTTTGCTCATATTTTCGACAATTAGTAACTCCAAAACAAAGCTTCGACTGTAATTTCGTCATTCTTGATTTTCGTCTTAGTTTGGCATGTAGAATCCACCCCGTCAGTGTCCCACACTTTTATTAAAATCCTGTATATACATACTTGTAACAATCAATCAATTTATCGTAGTTCAATGAACTGCGTCAATTTCCGTTTGCTGTCGTCTAACCATTTGGCCACTGAACTTGTACACTGAACACTTTGTTGCAGTACCGATATAAACGCCAAGAGCCATTGAGCATTACAGTTAATATTCTTATTCGCAAATCTGTTAAAAATTTTTAAGATTCTATGTTAGTTTTTCTAAGAAGCTACAATAAAGTAAAACGGACAAAAACAGTACTACTATACACGATGAAACTCTAAAACAATAGCTTTACAATTAGTAAAATAACTAAATCATTCACATACCTAGAGAGAAATGCCGCTACGAATGTAGACCAACTTTCAATACGACCAGGATAAGTAAACAGAAGTTTCTGTATGGATCTAGTATTATCTGACATTGAAGTTTCGACAAAATAATTAAATGATGATGCACAAGCTATGTGTACAATATCTACATCAACAATATTTCTCCTGAGAAATAGTGCTTTCTGTGCACATTTGCTAAAAGATTGTACATCTATTTCCAATAAAATTCTAAGTAATCGTATCCAATATCTTACATCATCTGCAATAAGAAATTAAATAACATTAACCAGACATTTCTAAAATACTTTATGCTGTATATTGTAACTATATGTTTAAAGAGAAAAGAACTTATTTGTGTGAAAATAACTTAACATGCTTGTCCTTAGAAACATTAAAACCAATTAATAATTGTACAAGGCACACCCATGGGTGATTTCAGATATAGGATGCTTTCTACATAAGCATTGTTTACCTTGTCGTCTACAACTTTATCAAAATATTCATATTCCTTACCAGGATGCTTGAAGATCGCTTTTGAAAGAGTAGCAACAGCACTCTTAACGTCATTTTTAATTAGGTAAAAGTATGCTCTCAAGTTTGCAACATGGGGAGCATAATCCGTGTCATTTTCATACTGTTTCAATTCGTTAAGAATCAACGTAGTTAAATTTAAATCCCCATGCAGTATGCCAAGTGATGCAGCTGCTACAAAACTAGTAACAACCGGTGGCTGTATTTGAATACTTTGGAAGAGTAAAGTTTTCGCGTCATGCACACCCTGAAAAGTGTACGCTATGGCAGCCATTGCGCACAATGCATATGCTTTTTCTGTTTCAGTATTGGCACAGGAATGAAGCGCGGTTTCATATGTACTGTATGATTCTTCGTATCGCTTAGCTATAAATAAAGAATTACACACAAAGATTGACGAACATTGTTAAAAGATAAAAAAAAAGTAGCAGATAAATTTGATTAAATGATCCAAGGAAAAATATTAAGATTCCACACCTTTAAACAAAGACAATGCTAAATGGCATTGCGAATTGTAATCAGCTTTCCCTCTAACAGCCTGACAAAATGTTACAGCTTCTGTATACTTTTTGAGTTGTATTAAAACACGTCCTAAGTTTAAGCAAACCATATCCTTTTCCTCATTAACACTTGTCTGAACAGCTACAGCAAATTGTTCAGCAGCTGACCTGTAGAGTTTTTGTCTCTCTAAGAGTAATCCATATGCATTTCGAGCATACAAGTCTTCAGGATGATGTTCTATCAATTAAAAATCAACAATAACTTTCTTTCTATTTCTTCAGACTAGATTAGTACAAAAGCTGAATCAAAAAACAGTCTCAGATAAGTGAAAAATAAACTTACCCAAGTACCAGTGCATAACGTCAGAGGCAACAAATACAGCATGCATATTTTCTATTATATATGTATATAAAGAATCTTTTTCGGTATTTGTATCTAAAAGTACAGTAAGCACCCAATGAGCATATCCCAGCGCGGCTTCATCGTGATATCCGAGTTGTGTAGAATGTCGAAACAAGTCAATAGCTTCTTTTCTAGACATCATTTCTGCAATTAAAGCTTGCCCTATCCAGCTGTTTACATATGTTGGATCCGCACGTTGGGCTTGCGAGTAAGCTTCGTTTGCCTTATACAAGTCCCCTGTAAAAAAAAAATTAGTTTTCAAATTTCCTTAAAATTACGATGGGAGATTTTAATGATTTTTTATTGAGAGCATATTTATACATGTATAAGTATACCTATGTATAAATATAAAGTTCCCAGGTTACACCAAACTATGGCATTATTAGTTTCTTTGTCGATTGCCATGACATATGAATGTTGTGCTAATGCGTAATTCCTTATATATGGCGACATACAAATAACTCCCAAGAGGTTCCAATACAACCATGCCGAGGGGCACAATTTAACAGCACGTTTGCCAGCAGCGAGACATTTACTTGCAAGAGTTTTGTGGTCAACCGATGAAGCAAGGTGTAGCTGCAATAGATAACATAAGGCTAAATCATGCCATAACGATGCAGACTGTGGAGAAAGAGAGAGCGCGCAACAGCAACATCTGTAATTAATATATTCGTTGCAATTATTTGTGAAAGAAATAATATTATCAATATACGAACACGTACCGTGTAGACAATAAAGAAAGCTCTGTTTTTTTCATCAATACAACACCTTCAGTGTCATTAGAGCCCACTAGTTTAGATGGTATGTTCAAATAACTGTATTTATCTGGCATAAGGGCAACTTTGTAACACACATCGCCAAGTAACTTCCAAAGACAAGACATATTGTTACGTTCTACAATAGCTAACGATAAATTATTTATTGCCTGTTGAAAATAATCATTAGCACGACCCAGAAATTGTTTGACAGTGCTTTCCTTTGCCAACGCTATGCAGGCTTCAGCTAATCCTTTCAAGACCGGAACGTATCGTAGTTCATTTAATATTTCCTCGAAATCTTTTTTTGCATCAGCGTATTGTTCCAACATCTGTGAAATAATACGAAATTTTCAGAAGTTGACCATGTAACGCCTTCTCAAATGTATATAAAATTTTAGTTAACAGTTTCGTAATTTACGATTTAACTTATTGTAATAATTAGTTATGCCAGATACATGTAAATAGTACTAACTAATTTAATATTTGCAAGTTGTATTAGTGAATACAATGAGTTAGGACATAGTTTTAATGCTCGTTGGTAAGACCTCAGTGCTGACGTGTGAGCACCGCGGCTGAAGTAAGCATCTCCTAACGATTCCCAGTTGTAGCTGCAAAAAGCGATATGATAGTAAAAAGTATACTAGTAATAAAAGCTAGTATGCCAAGAGAATTTCATTTTTTTAAATATTGGCTTATATAATTAGACGAACGCTAATATCTCTGAATTAATACACCTTGTTTAATTTTAATTAATAGTAATATACTGTCACTCAAAAACTGAGTACGAAATAACCTTGGAAATCGTTGGTTTTGAAAGTTCCTATTAAGTTGATGGAAACTAAATGGCTTCTTTATCGCAGTTAAGATAAATCTTTGCTGTGTTGAAATTAATTGTAATACGAACACTATTTTTACTGAAATATGTAAAATGTACAGAGCGTGTCGCTTATCTCATTTACTTCAAATACATTGTATTTCTTTTAGTCACTATAGAAATATGTGATAGGGAAATTATTGAATGTACATTATGTTTTATTTACCTTGCACAATTACATGTACTGCATAATCAAAAAGTGTGAATACTAATTAGCCATTCATTTTCCACCAACCTGACAATAGGATATGTTATACTTGTCATTCGGATCAGCGCGGATAACGCGTTGGAACGCTTTAATAGCTTGTAATGCATCTCCTTGATCAAGGTATTGCCTTCCAAGTTGCAACCAAGCCCACTTAGGACCACCATCTGACATAGTCAATCGTTCTAGTAGTTGTGTATTAGCATCCTGTAATCAATATTGTTTTTTCAACCATATACTTCATCGTAACAAACAGTTATTTTGCAAATAAAGTAAGTTTATTTTATAATTTGGACAGAAATAGACTTCAACTTAAATTTTCTCAAATCCATAACACTGATCATGACAAATTCATACCTTATTGTGTATTAACATAAAAAAATTCATATCGCATTTTAGAAAATTTTAGATTATACCCCATATTTGTTTAGTTTATAATAAACTTATTATGGTTCTGGTTTCACTCCTCTTGTCAAATGGATTTTGAATGAAGATAAATAATTATACTCACATGATTTTTAAGAAGTCTATATACAGTACTTAAACCAATACCAGCTTGTTCAGAAGAGGGATTGATCTGTAATGCAGTTAAGTAACATCTTCTTGAACGTTCCAAATCATTACCGTATTCATGATAGTAACGTCCCAAATAAACCAGACATTCCCAATTATATTGGTCTACAGTGACACCATTTAAAAATGCCATCAAACTGTCATTGTATTGTTCCAGTTCCCAATATATGGTACCAAGAATGAACCAAGCTTCTGACACTTCTAGAGCTGAATCCAGAATGTCCACTGCCTGGTCCAGTAGTTTCTGTTGTTTCAGATACAATGCTTTTAAAATGGTAGCTTGAATCTTTATTTCACTTTGTGACTCCAAATTATTTAAGGTAATTGATACATCAGCATGATTCAGTAATACATGGACACGTGCACAAATTAATTCCACCTGCTTTGAAGAGTGTTTCTGCAAATACTAATTAAAAAAGAACATGGTTTAAATTGTATAAACGATACTAATATATGGAATACAATGTAATGGAGGTCAGTTTCTATATTAAGGTACAGAAGGTTAACAGAGAATTATTTTTATTGAAATGAACAAAATATAAAATATTCATGAATATGTCACAATGGATGGAATTTACATATTTCAGTGAAGTGGTCCAATGTCGTCGTTGATCATTTTTTTAAAATCTAATTTTTTGTGTATGTTTATCTTCATATGTTGACACTACAAACCAAACGTTAGTTTATTATACTGACTTTTTGTTTGCACATAAGAATCGTATTCGTGTTGTGCGGAACGTCATTTCTTGTTCTTTGCTGAAAAACATGTTTCTTATCCCTTGTTGCTGTGATTAGCAGATATTGAGATATTTTAATTTCCGCGAACTCCCGAAACCACAAGAAATAACGTTCCGCACAACACGGATACGGTTCTTACGTGTAAACAAAAAGTCAATATAATAAACTGACGTTTGTTTTGAAATGTCAACATATGAGGGTAAACATATACAAAAAATTAGATTTTTAGAAAATAGTCGAGCAACGACATTGGACCACTTCGCTTGGAATGACCTACCATAACTTCTCTCTGTTCATACAACTTCTAAATCCCATATATTTATGATTTAATATTCCTACTACCCCAAGCTCTTAGACCCAGAACTCTATTATTCTAATCTTAGTATGTCTTCGAAGAGGGTTTATACTGCAATGGTATCTTAAATAATATATTATAATATTGCTAGAATCTATTATCTATTATAATATTAGTAATGTAAGGTTTTCTAAAGACAGAATTCCTTACTTTTTCACACATTTGCAAAGCAGTTTCCCATTTCTGTTTGTTATTACTTCTGCTCATTGAATCCATCATTATTACTTCCATTTTATACAATAATTCATCATTTATTTCATGTTTTATAAGTTTTAAAGCTTGTCTCATAGCATTTTCTGCATCTTCCCAACAATAAAGTCTGACATTTATTTCACCTAATATGATCCAACAGTATAACATGTGTGGTTTCAATGTGAGTATATTTTTTAATATTTGCCGTGCTGCTATCAGGCTATCTGTTTTCTCTAAATATACTGCGTGAGCAATTGCTGCTTCATCTGATTCATTATTTAATTTTTTGAGAGATTCATAGAATTGCTTTACATCAATATCTGCATAACGGTTGTTATCCAAAATATTTTGTTCATAGTAAACTCGACATATATATACTGTAAATAAAGGAGAGCAATGAATATTATGAAATTTAATAAAGCACTCATCTAAAATAACTTAAATTAATGATTGTTTGTCACTTAACAAAATATTAAATTTATTAAATTATCAAAAATTTTCATTGATGAGTTTCTTACCAACAACCAAAATATTAAAATATTCATAAAACTTACCCAATGGTAAAGTATCTTCAGAAAATTGTTGATACATACTTATAGCTTCTTTCATTAATGCATCTAATTTACCTTTGTTGTATAATACGTCTAAATACTTTCTATAGTAATCTTGCCGATTAATAGCTTCAGCATCATTAACTACAGACTTAAGAACATTTTCTAATAGATCGCCATATTCATTTGAACTATTAGAATTATTCATTAGTAACTGTACAAGCGTTACATTAAATAATTTCATTTGATCGCTGTCTAACTTGTTGCGCAATTCGCATAAAGTTTCTATACTGTGACCAAGCACTGCAGTATCATCTAATTGTAAAGAAACTTCTAGGATTCTGTTCAGAGTATGTGAGAACTTGAAATTACTGCAAGGAAAAGGTTGTATAATAAAAGTAAAAACGTATAATTTATAAAATATGCAGTAATTGTATACCTATCTATTTGCAATAGTTTGCAATAAAATGATATTAACTTGTTACGACACTCATCATTGTCCAGGTTCTTTTCATAGTAAGCTACCAAACCTTGCCAAGCTAATAAATTATTCGGTTCAATTTTTGTAGCTTTTTCAAGTACTAAAGGTGCTTGTGATTTATATTCTTCAAGTTCTTTCATCGCAGCGGCTAATAAAATAAGCGCATTATAATTATTTTTATCATCTTTCAATATCTTCTTGCATTTTTTAAGAACTTCTTGATATTCATTCTGCTTAAAGAACTGTCGAGCGACTTTCAAAGTTTCTTTTGTGTCATTCGACATTTTTTAATAATAAATATTATATAAAGTATATTCAAAACTGTATGAATAAATTAAGTTCTGATAACTGTATACTAAATTGTCGGGAGTGTAACGCGGCAATATAAGCGCAAAAAATAATTCTTTGCTAATATATGTATACTTTCAACTATAACGCACAATAGTCACATACACTGACATATGTACACGCATACTTATAAGAATATTTTCAGTTTTAAACAGTTTTGAACAGTTTTTGACAGTTTTGAATAATTCAATATCAACACGAACATAACCGTGTTGATTTATTCGTTTGAAGGGTTTGAAATGGTTTGAAACACTACAGGTGATCGACTTAGGAACTAACATAGAGGGGGAAATTTAAGTTATATTTGTTTAAAGAAGTAAATTCTTTTCAATTTTTATAATTAATATCTTGATATACTATACAGTATAAAAGTACATAAAGTGATTATAGAAACTTATTATTTTATATCACTTTATTCTCGATGAACACGAACATAATACGTATTCTAATTAAAACTTATAATAACTATATAAATAAATTATACAACTAGTTTCAAAGCTATAGGTTAATAAAACATAAAATGATAAGGAGCCTTAAAAGAAGCATTTTTTACACGGTTTTATTTAGATTGTTGTGTATGAATATATGTCCATTCATAATGTTCAAGTCAAGTGGAAATGACTTTACAAAACTCGTAACTTTTTATATTTAACGTATTTAAATATCATCGAAAGTTAAAAATATAAGGTAGAAAACTTTGTAAATTTTTGTTTGTTTATTACATACAAATAAAACAAGAACGGATATACAATGTATATTAAGAAAAATATGATTGTTTCCTTTAATATCTTATTGACCTGTTATTTTGAAATATCCTACGTATCACAAGTATTTTATGATTAAGAAAAACCATTCCTTAGTTTTCTAATAAATTAAATGTATTGTAGGTATATCACAACATCTAAGTAACTATAATTTTTTATGTATTAAGCAACTTTATCAAAACATTTGCCGTCTGATCATTGACACTAAGCGTGTTCACCACGGTCAATGCGAAGATTAGTGATAAATCCGCTCTAAAAACTCCTCTTTCTTGTTCCGGTTAAAAAAAATTGCGAATATGAATCAATCTAGCACCATAAAACAATTGAACGTGAATTCTATTAGTAATGATGTTGGTTAAGAATAACGATTGATGAGGGTTAAGTTGGGAACTATCTGCTTAATTGGACAGAGTGCGAGAAAAGGACGACGGTTATGGTTGTTTTAAAAGTGGTGAAGGGCGTGAAGGGGTCTACGTATGAGGTTAGAATGAACAAGAGAACAAGGTAGTATATATAATAAACGTAAGAAAGAAACAAATTGGAAGGAGAAAACCCGCAGGATCGATTGACAAAGATAGAAGATGAAGAAAGAGGCATATACGTAATGTATAAGGTAAAAAGAACTCAGTATACAGAGGGAAAGAAGCACGACAGTGATACGAAAATCGGCGTTCGAGGGAGGGAAAAGGAAGCGTGGAAGGGTGAGCAATCGAGCGATGGTGGGGCATGCGAACGAGTTTGAAGGGGGAACGAGGGAAACCAAGTGCAAAGTCTGACCCGCTGCAGTCTCATTCCAGCCATGGGTAGTGTTTAAACAGCGTGATGTGACAATGACGGTTATTGTAATTGTGAAACGACGCGTTATTGTGATCAGCTGATCAATTCAGTCTGTCAGAGAAAGAGAGAGAGAAGAAGAAGAAAGGGTTGCGTTAGTCATAAGAAAAAACAACAAGCTATTGAAAGGAATACGACGGGAGAAAAGAGTCCAATTTTGGTGGCTATGTCGTTGTACCTATGATAGGTTTTGCCTCCAAGAGGGGCCAGTTTTGTGTGAATAGTGGTTTTAAGTTTGGTGGGTGTATTGTGTGCACGTATGATTCGTACGAGTGATAGATGAATGTATGTTAGCCATGCCTGCCGTGCGGAAGTACAGAAGGGATACCAGTGAAGTGAGCTGTTGTCTCAAGTATGTGATATTTGGATTTAACGTCATGTTTTGGGTGAGTACACTTCACATGAGTTTTCTTCATTCAAGTATAATGGTTTTTTTATTTCATCTCTATAGTCAGCATCAAGATAACTAAGGGGTTTTCTCAGTATAGAGATAAAAAAATGCAAACTTTGTGTCTTACGGAAAAATTATATATGTATTTTAATAATATTTTCATTCATTATTATCAGAATATATATTTTATGAGTATGTTCGAATAAACAAAGTTTTGAAAAATTTTATTTCGATTAAAACATAGGTGTCGCTAATAATCTTTCTAAGGAAATTCCATAATGACTTATACAAAATAAAAAGAAAGGTATGAACTACGTTAATAAATTAGAAATGTCCTGCGTCATGTAAGTGGGTAGTCAGTTGTTGGTTGTGTCAACGGGAAAACCGTAAGCATGGTCTGTGGCAATGTCCTTTGTCAGTGAATCATACTTTAATTTATATAGGCACGTGTTATTTTACCGTTATGTCTTTCCGTTCTATAAATAAGTCACGCCGCACAGATGGTAATGTATTAAAAAAAAATGTTTTTTGTTTTTAACCTCATCTTAAAACTTTCGTACTTTCAAGATTTTGTTTAATCAAAACATATATTATTACGAAAAATTCAGTAAAAGACCTGCAATGCAGTTTGTATGTTCTGTAAAGTGCTCCAGTTGTGAGTACCATGGTGCACACATGTACGTCACGGTCTGTACACCTCATAGCAATAACAGTGTAGCTCACACTAAATATAGTCGGCTATACACATTATTTCTGAATGGTATTACTCTAAACTTTAATAACGTCATTTACAAGTACAGTATTTTCATATGAGTGACTATAAACGTATCATTGATACTGGCAATTCATAAAACTGTCCTTTTTCCACTCCTTTTAACGTCTTTGCTCAAACGGTTGCTTTTCACTGCCATGATCTTCTTTGATGTTACCGGTGTTTAAAGAATTTCATCACAAAAGTTGCCTGTGAACCGGTTCCTAACGAGTGCAATCGACCACCACGAAAAGGGTTTACTTTGCTCAATGTAGGTGTGACTGTTTTGATTCTGCTATAGGACGGGGTGGTGTTCCGATGCTGATTATGAATTTCTACGAGTACTCAGTCGCTCGGAAATGAAACGAGTTCCCTCTCCTCGGTGAAAATGGCGATCAACAGAAGTCGTTAATGAGAACAGAATATTTTCATGTTATGTTTTCAAATTACATTACGCGGAATTATTGAAATATGGAATATACGGGATGTATCATTTTACTGTATACCTACGAATCGTTTCATTTCTTTTTAGCATTGTGAAAATATGCGAGAAAAGAAAATATTAAAAGTAACAATAATGAGTGTTTCATTTATAAAGTGTGCTTACAAAGCATTTGGAAACCAATTTTTAATATCATTGAATAAGGTATTTCAAGTACTTTGACCATCTATAAAGTTTTAACAAAAATTTGTTGTTATTAATATGTACGATATTTGATATTTCTTGATTCATATGAAAATATGCCAGGAAGACATTTTTTATGTCAATATACAAGATAAGATGTTTCATTTGTCTTTTCCATTTACAAAGTGCTTCACGTAGCAATTGTTGATGTCAATATAGACACATTAATATTAACATATTATCAATCACTAGTCTAGTAAGTGAATGTTCATTTTTGTTTTATCGAAAGCTACAAACTTTAATTATGAATGGTAAAAAATGGAGGAATCTATTTATAAAATTCGAAGAGTTTGTTACATAGACCTCCGAGATACAATATTTTTTCTCGTTTCTTTATATGATTGTTAAAACCACTAAAACAATCGTATACAGAATTGTAACACTCCGAAAATACGAATATCAATCGATCAATATGTATACCGTTCGTTTCAATAATAATTGAAGATTTCAGACGATGAACGGGTTATGTAACATTTTTGGAAAAATTACGTTTTCTTTGTGAATGAAGACAGTACGTCGTAATCTTTACATAGTACCTTATTTCACTTTGTCCTGTCACGGAATAAAAAGATACGAAGAGGATGCAGGACGCATATTATAGAGGCAAATGCAGGAAGAATAACTTTTAAACTTAGTTTACCACAAACTTATTACTTCTAATATAACACCTTCATTCTCCGAAGCCTTCAGTTTACAAAAGGTGTTCCAAAGTTGAATGATCAAACTGCACCACTACATTCAATCGACAGATGGAGAAGAAAGAAGTTCGGTAACATCGAAGAGGCGCAGAGAAATTAAATAATTCCTTTTTACGGGTTACAACATGAATGTCAGATGATCATTATACGGTTACAACACTTCAAACACTGGTTACGCAACGAGTAGAAAGCGAATAGACTGCAGGATTTGTTGGAACGCAGCCGTCGTCTGATTTCTGTTTCATTCTAATTTCTATTACTTGCCGCCCTTCCTTCGAGTGTCAGGTGTCCTTAAACTCTTAGTGGGATGATAAGTGGTTAACCGAGGGAGCAGAACTTTAAGAAGCCTTGAGGAATTTAGGTCCCCTACAGCCCTACATTGACGACCGGGCAAGGAATGTTGAGCAAAGAAATTTAACACGTCCAATGTCCAGATCTATAATCGTAAATTTAGAAAAAAAGGTGGCCTTTGTGTAGTAGTAAAATTCAGGCTTCTTTTTTAAGGACTACAGTACTCTGCAAAAATCTTGGTAGCATCTGTAATTACATTTTGTTGCAATCAGTTAATAATCGAAAACATACACGGCAATAGTAGTGATAGATTATTTAAACCACGTGGCAGAAAAAAATAGAGTATCAATTATGACTTTACCACCATAAAGTGTCGATCTGAGTATTATCAAAGATATTTGGGATTATTAGAAACGAATAAGGAAAGGATAGTTAGAGACAGACGACAGACAAAAGCGATTATCCAAAAATTAATCAATACTTTTATCAACTAATTGCTGTCGTTTCGAAAGTAAAGAAAGCCATATAGAAGATTGATTATTTTAAGTTAATTAAAACGTTTTCAAGATATCTACTAATTTATGGATTAAATACATTCTTTTTAAGCAGTACACTTAACGGTAAAGTCAAACTAATATCGAACAATAATACATTATAAAATATGCTCTATTGATAGGTGGTCTAAGACGTTTGTATTGAACTACACTTTCTATCATCCCTTTGGTTTTAAGAGAATATCGACGTTCATAACACAGGCTGTATTTGTGATTCTATCGAAATGCCCTCGGGGTAATACTATTTAAAAAGTCAATTGTACCAGTCATCCTCGTAGAGTGTGACTTGGCCGAGCTTTCATTACGCAAGTATATACGCAGCACATAAGTGGGTCAAATATGGAGGGCTGGATGATGCGCTTGGACGCGTAAGGAGGGTAAGTGCACTGATGCTGTTCTTGCATCCGTGTCCTCAATCGCTGACACTCCAAGTTCTCAGTTAAGTGCTAGACGAGATTCACAAAGGCACTTGCACCACTAGTGAACTCCGAGTTTCTGCACTTGCATTTCTTTTTCTTCAACAATACAGATACAGTATGAGTCAAGATTTATCACAGTATTTATTGTTAAACGCTATTGAAATTCATGAGTTACCTTTTTACATCTGTAAGGAAAGTTGCGTTACCTGTACGTGGGCGACATATTTCTTATTTGTCTTCATCGACAAAAGAATAGTTAGGACATGATGCTGTGGCAAAATATGGATATATTACTCAGATGATAAGGCTCTGAATTCGCTAATGTGCATATTTGAAATTGTTATTATTACGGTCTATGAAGGGCCTGGCTCTGTTTGCCCCGTAATTCCTTTTATCTGACTGGGTAGAATGAAGATGATCATTTTGAACGAACTAGGCGTTGAGATACGCCTACTACAAAAGACAAAGCCAATCAGTCTAATCGCCATATCGTGCAAGGAAGAAAGGTCGTAGAGTGATCTAACAATTTAATCTTAATCCAATAAAGATACGAGGTTAATAAGTTTTGTCCTTTTTACGGCCAGTCAACAGGGTTAAATTCAATTAACTATTCAAAGCCAGATTTTCGTGGCTTCACTGTAAATCATGAAATTCAAATTCAGTTCCAGTGGTCAAATTCGTATTAATGGTTAGCAAAGTGGAAAATACAAATGGAGTAATCTCATGCCACATCGATTACTTTTTGCAACTACATACTGTCGGCAAATTCAATGAAACTGATGTCTGTGAAAACGTAGAGTGTGGAGTTATTATTTCACTTGTATTGAATCAGTTGAAAATATACATAACAGAAAAATTTCCATTTTTTCTGTTCAATTTTCGTGATAGTAGTTATTACAAATTAATTTATATATTTTACTCTAACGGTCATGTGCAATGTTTATTTTTATATTGATAATACAAAGGTGACTTTTTTTATGAGTTTCTGTTGAAAATTGAAAATTACCTGTACAACATAAAAGTCCAACAAATTTCGGGTGATATTAAAAAATTTGAAACTTTGAAGTAAATATGACTATGTAGATTTATTTATTTTCTCAATAAAATAAATTTTGCGAAACGTTGAATTTTTGACTGCTTCATGTACAATCGGACAGAATTTCTTGCAAGGTAACCGTGTTTTTTAACTTCCTATGTTTATTCGCAGGTTTGAGAAATTAATTTGTGTAAAGTTTTAGCCTTTTAAATTAAACGCTTTACATGATATTGAGCTAAAGTGTTTTAAGAATACCAGTGACATAAATTCAAGCATCATACTATTACTCTCCATAATTCTTCTCTGTTTGGAGATAATATGTACATACCCTTGTTTACTAACCATGTACGTACACACAATTTCGTTACCATAAATTAGAGTGAAAGTTTCTGTTTTCCGATTCGATACTGTCGTTACTCATGGATCGGTTCAAAAAAAATCTAATGAATTTTTTGCACTTTCTCCTTTAAAATAAACTCCTAGAAAGGATAGAACAATTTTAAAAATACGGGTAAAAAAAGTGTACGAAGGTACACAATGTACTCTGCTGTACGTTGACAA